AGCTGAGTGGACTTGCCGATGACTGGTACCAGCGGTGTCAAGATCGGCCTCTGTGGACGAGGCTCGTGAAGAACGCTACTGGGCAGTTGGAGGCAGTCGCCCTCCAGCAACAACGGAGGGCAGAGGAGCGACGCTCACAACAACGAGCGGAGCGCCGGGTGGCTAAAGCACAGCAAGTTGGCACAGTAGGGGGCACAGGTGGTGCATCAGCCAGTCATCTCAGTCAGTCGACCCATGGCACCTGGGTCTGCCCCGTGACCTGCCAGCGGGCGTTCGACACTTCACGTGGCCTCAACGTGCACATTGCCTGGCACAAGCGTCGTGGTGACGTCACCGCCACTTAGTGGCGAATGGCGGTTGTTGTTGTCAGCAATGCCAGTGTGTTGATGTGTGTGATCGATGTCGGTGTGTTTGTGTGTGTCAGCGATGCCAATGTGTTGATGTGTGTGTCGACAGTTTCTGTTCTGGCGTTGGAGGAATTTGCGGAAGTGCAGAAACAGCTGGAGCTTGAGAAAGAACTGAGACAGAAGGCAGAGGAGTACGCACACAAGGTATCCACTTGCCTCTCTTTCTCATTCTCACTTCTCTTTCTCTCGTAGCGTCCCGTTTTCTGCAGCCGTACGTGGTATGGGTTTCTCAGAAGTCTGCGCAGTGTACGTGGATTCCAGCACCTGTTCACACCAGCATGCGGCAGAAGTCCCGCGCGTGTACATGAACGTGCCTGCAGCAGAAATGGAGACACATGCATAGCAGTTCCCTCGACGCGCGTGCGTGTGGACTCGTGTATATGTAAATACATCGATGGGATGGAGCGGTGGTGGTGCACTTGTTGACGTCGCTGCGCTACGAACCCGGCGAAATGAGTTGGAATCCTGGCCATGGCTGAGATCAGCAGAGAAAACTTGACATGGTCCTAGGCCTCCCCTAGGTCGACTCAGCCTTTATTGATGACCCGGTGCGGTATATTAACATCGGCACTGGAGAAGACAAAAGCGGCCGGGTGTGGTGCTGGCCACCTAACCCCCTCTTGCGTCCTGATGGCCTTCATACGTGCTCGCTAACATCACTTGCCCTAATAGACTGTATGCGGCGTGGGGGGGGGGGGTCTGTATCTTAATTGAGTTTTATTTTTCTTCGCATGGCTGATGTAGGTGTAGAGCACAAACTGTAATTGTACATTGAAAGTGGTCGAGCCGGATGATTGCGATAGGAATGACGGAGTGGTGAATCATCGCGGTGTGATGATGCCTCCTCCTCCGTAACTGTGAATCGGGCACTGAGTCGTCGTTATACGTTCCACGGTCTGTTCTGGGTGACCACAGTCGCACACTGCCGGAGAGTTTTTAATTTTCCATCTGCGCATAAAGTGTCCACATCTGCTGCCATGGTTTGTGCAGTGGGATGCGGTTTAGGGGTTGTGGCTCTTGAACTTCGTGGAAGATCGAAGCCAGCGATCTCCTGCCTAACGATGCTGCATCAGCATCACCGGTGGTGTTGTTGGTGGGCGATACGGGCACATTTAGACATTTCGCTGGTAGCTACAACAACCAGCATCATCATCATCATCGGGCAATTACCATAAATATAAAAACGTCCTCCAGTCCCGGGCCCTAAAAGGGTCATCACTACTGACGGTGATCAGGGGGTGAGATGTGTTCAGTGCCACAAGGTGTCTGTCAGCCGGGCGGTGGAGGCTATGCACGTGGTCTGTAGTAATCCAGCACTGGAGGCAGCAGCAGCGAGGGTTGTGGATCGCGCAAACGTGAGTTTAACACGTAGTAGGCTTTCGCAAGCAATATTTTCAGTCATAAAGGTTTTTTGGGTTAGATTTCTTAAATCTAAACTCCTAACTAATTGGCACGCTTTGTTAACGTGACAAACCTTATTCATCGGCTGTGTTCGGGTGGTGGCGGGTTTAGCGACACATTTATATTCACGCGATCTAATCCCCCCAAAAAAACCTCTTATGGTCGCACAAATGTTGTGAAACCCCCTTCACTTGGCTCGCCAGCAGAAGGCAGTAGAGCAAAGGGCAGGATAATATATTCTGAATGGGGATAGAGTTGGGGTTTTTTTTCTTCTCCGGGTGCTCCCATTTGCTGCCATGTGTATATAAACGCTCATTAATTGGCTGAACACATCTTAATATATAGAAGCTTGGGCAATTGTTGGTAGCGCCGGCTCACCGACTGACTGCTACTGCTGCCTTCCAGCTTGTCTCCGATTCCTCACCGATTTTGAGATGCAGTCTACGTAAACAACATCGCTGTACATATATATAGGGGCGCTACGGTGGCGGGAAGTTATCTGCCATGCCTGGTGTAGAGGAGGGTTGTGGGTTCCGACCGTGACGCCCGCTGTATATTTGAAGTTTGCGTGTTCTGTCACCTAGTGGTGGCGTCGGTTTTTTTTCCGGGTCCTCCGGTTTTTCCGTCCATATTTCAATAAATCAACGTACGCTGGGACTATTGGGCTGCTGTAAATTTGCACGTGATAAGCCACTTCGTTGCGATATCGTTTGTGGCCAGTTCACTTCTGAAAAAGAGCTACATAGTTCAGTGGGCCTCACATGGTAAAATAAAAAAAATAGTTCATCGTTTAATAATTTCAATAGATAAAATGACGTGTTACCATTACGGACGTTGTCCGTGTTACCGCAGAATCTGTACGTGCGGTCGCTTGTGGCGTGCGGAGATCTCCGGCGTCCTCGCCCCCCCACCCCCTCCCTCACGTTTGTGCGTGACCCCCCCTCCCCCCCCCCGCACAGATGCTGGTGGAGCAGAAGAAGCTGCAGCGTCAGAGCCAGATTCTGCTGCAGAGCCACGTGGCCGAGCGGCAGCTGATGGAGGCGCTGGAGGAGAACGCGGCGCTCACCAGCCAGCTGGAGGCGGAGCGGCGCCAGCACCAGCTGCAGGTGGCGCTCGCTCCTGGCCTCGGCTGTTTGTCTCACCCCCCCCCCACTCCCCGGGGGGGGGGGGGGCTCGAGCACCCCGGTTGTCTGTGGTGCAGCACAAACACACAAAGACGAATGTCCCCCGTGTAGCCTTAACAGACTTGGGGCAAGTGCTGTTAGCGAGTACTGATGAAGGCCGGAACGGCAGACGAGGGGGTGGGTAGCCAGCACCACGCCCGGCCGCCTTTGTCTCCCCAGTGGCGATGTTTACACATTGCACCAGGTACTCATTTGAGGCTGAGTCGACCTAGGGGAGGCACAAGACCGGTTGGGATAAATATAATCGCTACTCGTATTGGCCATGAGCGGGAATCGAATTCGGGTTTCCAGGTTCGTAGCGCAGCATAGCGCTAGCCGGCAACACCACCGCTCCCCACGCACATGCACCCGTCGCTCAGGCTGGTTCTCTTGCGCTGCAGGTGAAGGAGCTGCAGGAGAAGTTGGAAAGCTTGGAGCTGCGCAAGGAGCTGGAGTCTCTGCAGCGGCGGCTGGAGCTGGCCGAGGAGGACATGAGGGAGAAGGACGCACGCACGGAGCGGGCGGAGGCCTCCACCCGAGACCTCAAGCACGAGGGTGCGGTGGTCACCACGCTCGCCACGCTCACCACGCTCACCACGCTCACCACGCTTACCACGCTCACCACACTCACCACGCTCACCACGCTCGCCACGCTCGCCACGCTCGCCGCGCTCGCCGCGCTCGCCACGCTCGCCACGCTCGCCACGCTCGCCACGCTCGCCACGCTCGCCGCGCTCGCCACGCTCGCCGCGCTCGCCACGCTCGCCACGCTCGCCACGCTCGCCACGCTCGCCACGCTCGCCGCGCTCGCCGCGCTCGCCGCGCTTGCCGCGCTCGCCTCGCTCGCCGCGCTCGCCGCGCTCGCCGCGCTCGCCGCGCTCGCCACGCTCGCCACGCTCGCCACGCTCGCCACGCTCGCCACGCTCGCCACGCTCACCACGCTCGCCACGCTCACCACGCTCACCACGCTCGCCACGCTCGCCACGCTCGCCACGCTCGCCACGCTCGCCACACTCGCCACGCTAATCACACTCACCACGCTCGCCACGCTCGCCACGCTCGCCACGCTCGCCACGCTCGCCACGCTCACCACGCTCGCCACGCTCACCACGCTCGCCACGCTCGCCACGCTCACCACGCTCACCACGCTCGCCACGCTCACCACGCTCACCACACTCACCACGCTCGCCACGCTCACCACGCTCACCAAGCTCATCACACTCACCACGCTCGCCACACTCACCACGCTCACCCCACTCACCACACTCACCACGCTCACCACGCTCACCACGCTCGCCACACTCGCCACGCTCACCACGCTCATCACACTCACCACACTCACCACACTCGCCACGCTCACCACGCTCATCACACTCACCACGCTCGCCACGCTCACCACGCTCACCGCGCTCACCACGCTCGCCGCGCTCACCACGCTCACCACGCTCACCACACTCACCACGCTCACCACGCTCACCACACTCACCACGCTCACCACACTCACCACACTCACCACGCTCACCACGTTCACCACGCTCACCACACTCACCACGCTCACCACACTCACCACACTCTCCACGCTCACCACGCTCACCACGCTCACCACGCTCGCCGCGCTCGCCGCGCTCGCCGCGCTCGCCGCGCTCGCCGCGCTCACCACACTCCTCGACCACGCTGCCGTCGTGCAAGGGGGGTGGGGGGATGGTGGCGGCGCTTCGAAGGCAGCTTATGGGCAGCTCCTGCGCTCGCGCCACTCACTCGCTCGTGCCACTGCTGGACGCAGGGAGCTTCACTGGAGGGAGCTCTGAGGGGGAGGGTGTTTGGCCACCCGCCCCCACGTTGTGTGCCGTTGCCGGCCTTCGTCGGCGCTCGCTAACGGCGCTTGCCCTAGCAGCCTGGTACAGGCAACACGGGGGACCTTTGTTGTAGCGGCGATGCGATTCCACAACGATCGGAGCAGCCCCATGGAGACGCGGCACTGTGCCAGGCTTGGTTCAGGGGGAGATGGTCAGGGAGTCGAGGGATGAGGTCCAGAGTAGGGGTCCGGCGGTTTTTTGAGGCTCCGTGCTCTTGAGGCGATCGACCAGATTGGTTTGCAGATGGCTATTGCGTGACCGAATGGGGAAAGGGTTCTTATCCAATTTGTTACATTCTCTCTAACAATTAAAAAAAACGTATAGCCCTTTGTCGTACAACTGCTGGATGAAGGCATCTTCATTCCAAGTCTTGGGGGGGATTTGTTTGACTACACTTGACAATGCTCGTTAAAGCAGGTTGTAAATCGGTACTTGATTTTTGCCAGCAAAAAATATTTAGCATCTTGTTTTGTTTCCTTACGCTAAGGTTGTCATTTGAAGCTGTGGAATAATATAAACCACTGCCTTAATCGAGGATGTTGCTATCGTGTGGGTTAGTATTAAATACCGTGTAACACCTAAAGGGGCAGCCCTGCAATTGCTTGCTAACTGCACTGCTGGTGGAAGGGCCTCTACTACATAGAGCTGCAGAGAGCCCTCGAGAAGGTATTTTAGCCTACTCTTTGTACATTTTCGCACCGTACGTAGCCAACCGTGCGAATCGGAGGTGCGCGGGAAGGACAACAAAATGAGAGCCTCTCTAGAAGGGGGTGTTTGGCCTACTCTTCCACGCTCATCAGACGTCGTGGAAGTGTGTTTGGTAGTCGGCACGCTTTTACCCCAGTCAGTCGGTGTGCTCAGCGGCAGGACACATCGCTGCCATTGAGAGGAAGGATTCGTGTATCCAGGCTAACCTGTACCTAAGATGAAGTGGCTGCCTAGTGTAGTGACGTCGTCCGTGTCTATTGGCTCAAACGACTGAGTGCAAAAAACACGCGGTCAGCATCGCCTCTTCCAATGCTCAGCTTGGCTTTCCCCCGGTTCTATGAGATTACTGAGCTGACAGGCACGGATATAACACATTAATCAACAGGTAGGCTAGCACCATTGTAATAACAATAACAACTTAATGATGAAATGTATTGCAATGTTTAGCCCTTGTTAGAGAGAGGCTCTCCCACACTGTGTTGGTGCTGGGGGTTGTTTGACCATACTTTACTAACCTGGTCAATGTGGTTTTGTGAATGGTGGCAGGGTGCCCAGCGCCTGTTAAGTTATCACCGACCACTAATGGATCATGGCCATGGCGAGGAATCCAAATCGGTTCGCCAGGTTCATAGTGCAACGTGCGTTCCACTGTGCCACCACAAGTTGTAATGCGAGAAGTCATACCAATTGCAGCTGAAGCGATCGCAAATGTCAACAGTCGTTGTTAAATATGACGACTATGGGAGCCATGTGCATTGTGCTCCAAGTGGCATCTACATGAATTGACAACAATTCAACACAAATCAATTGGTGGACGAGCATTCACATGTGCAGCCCCCACGGTCCGGAACACTCTCCTGCTACAAATCCCACAAATCAAATCAATTAACCAATTCTAATCTGAACTCAAGGCCTATTTTGTCTGTCCTGGCATACGCTGGAAAATATGCATTTACATGAGTGTCCAATTTGGCCTCTCCACCACCCCTCCAGTGAAGGTTCTCCAAAATCTTGCAAAATGTTGGGATTTTTGTGGTCTGGGGTATGGAGACCGAACGGATGTATTTATTTTAATTTATTTTCTCTGCGATTATTTTTTTCTTGTTGTGCACATTTTTCTCTCTCGTTATTTATGTATAATTTAACTTTTTTACTTGCTAAGTCGTGGGGTTTGGTTTTTGTGTTATCTGTGTACATAATCTGGATAAAAGAATTTTATTATATGATTTTATTATGTTTTATTTTTATTATTTTATTATTTCCCTTCTACGTGACTTTACCGAAAGAACCAAGAAGATGAATCCCTGCAGTCACGAAAGCTTTAAATGCAATTGCATGAATGACGCGGTGTCAAATTAAATAATGATTACATTAGCTGCCAATGAATGCTAATGGTTGGCCTGTGGCCTGTTTCTGTTGAGGGCCTCGCCCCTTTCTATCTAGGCCCCGCCTCTTTGTGTCGAAGCCCCGCCCAATAGAACACAGGGTTGGGGATGGTTTGGGTAGTGGTTGTGGATGGAGGGAGGGTGGGGAGTGTGGACACAGCAGGGGCAGTGGTGCGCTGCTGACTGCAGGCGTTGGGGCAACTTCACAACGAGGACCACCACAATCCCTCTCAGAGCAGCAAGATAGTAAATAATCGATTACATTCCTGGTCGTGAACAGTCACCGAATTGTCAGGCGCAAAGTCAATTTAAGGGGACTTAAGTGATATACGTTCATCTTTAAGGCTAAAGAAACACCCGTTACTTTGAAATCTTAAGTTTGGGCAGCGACATGACCGTGCGATTGGCAGAACGTTTGCCGCTTATTGCAGAGACACGTGGTTCGAGCCCCACGGCCGCCCTGGTTAATCCTGCGGGGTTGTATTAACCCTACAGATGCCTTGACCTTTTTTGTTTTTTTTTAAGTAGGCCACGTGCGTTGATGCCATGGTTTTGTCAAAACTGTTTTAAATGACTCGCGAATTCCTCAGTTGGAAAGGCGTTTCGCGCATTGTTGTTGTGCCCTCTACTGTGAAACTTGGCAGGACCCTCCTGAGAAAATAATCTTCAGACTCAGTGAGGCTATCCTGGGTAAAGTAAATTTTATGATAAGGAAATTATACCGACATTATTAAGCTCAACGTTGCAAGTGTAAACCCCATATTTCATACGGAGGCTTTCACGACCAACAAATGTTATCAGGCGGTCGCTAGTTGCCTGATTACTGGCACCTGCCTGATGTAGCTGGTTGTAACTACCAGCGAAACGTCACTCCGCAATTATTAAACGTGTGTGTGGATCACTGCCCCAGCATTGCCGGTGGCGCTGCTGAAGAGTTAATACATTGGCCACGTTTATTCACATGTCAACGACTTTGTTAATTGGCCGTGCCGCGTGGAGGAGGGTGTCTGACGACGACGATGACGACGCATTTTCTACTCGTGCAACCTGACCCCCAGAGAAGCCAACGACGGAGGCTGTCGTGACCGCGAACGTTTAACCTGCGCCCGTCGCCCCCTTCCGTCGTCCGTCCCCACAGTGGATGAGCTTCACAAGCGCCTGAAGAAAGCCACCGAGCCCCCGACCCCGCCGCCGCTCCCACCCATGCCCGCTCTGCCCCCCGCGAACCCCCTACGGTGAGGCGGAGAGCGCGGCGGGGTCCCTCGCGTCACGAAGTCCGCACGTTTGCTGGTGGACAAATTGTTCTTACCCCAAGATGCGTTAAACAACGGAATACCCCCCCCCCCCCCGGTCTCTCCATTTACTTTTGGTGATGTCCGTTTTTATTCGTTCCCGCCGCACCTCCGATTAGCTCGGTTGGCTACGTACGGTGCGAAAGAAGATCAATATACCCACATACGTACATACCTCACTAGTTCGGTAGTTCGAGGTGATTGCACTCGGCATGGTCTCGTGACGATAAATAAATGAGGTTTTGTTAAAGATCTCTGGGAACGACAACTCGGGGAACTTCAACTACAAACACCACCTCGGAGTAAGCATGTCGGGAGAGATACGGTTATGGTTACTGAAAGGTAGTGATTGTTGCTATTCCCCAGGTTGTTTAAGACAGCTTCATTCTTCGGGCATTGTGTCGTTATGCGGTCTGCTCTGGATGACCCAACACTACTGGAGAGTTTTACATTTGTGCATCAGGATATTTGCATCCGCTGCCATGGTTTGTGCGGATGCGGTTTGGGGTAGACCGTGAGCATTGTGGAGGTTCAAAAGCTCATGGTTCACCCTAAACCGCATCTGCATGTGCGGCAGGGATGTGCGGTCAGGGGAGGCAGGGGAGGCAGAGCCTCGCCTGTTCTACTCCAATGAAAATAGCTGTTACTAAAAGTAAAAAAAAGAATAATCAAATAACGTAAATATTAAGATTTTCCCACTGATCTGTGTTATAAATGTCATTTCTGTACGATTCCAATCATTTTCATAGTAAAAATCGCCAAATTTGCGGAGCTCCGCTGCAAATACAGGAAGAGACGAGAGGTGAGGCAGCGATGCGCTCAGCCTCCCCTCTGATTGCGCAATCCCTCAGTAACAGGATGGAGCGCGGGCAATAAGCGCGTGCCTGTTACTATCTCAGTATGTCACCAATGTAATGTTTGTAGACCCCTTCATTTCATGTCCTCGCCTTCCATACTCCAGGTAACTTATTTCACGTATGTGTATAAATATATTTAGGCTCGCTGGTCTCGTCATGAAACTGCAATGAAAAAGCACCAGGGGAGGCAGCTATCACATCTGCCTCACTGAGGGGGACGTCTCTAACACGCCCCCCCTCAGTGAGGCCACGCCCCTCTCAGTGAGGACACGCCCCCTCAGTGAGGACACGCCCCCCTCAGCGTGTGACTGGCTCTGACACGAGCCAGTGCCTCCCCAGCCATTGACCTCGCCGCACGTCACTGATGCGCGGATATTTATAGTCACGAGACCATCCTGGGTGTAATCGCCTCAAACTGCTTAATGAGTGAGGTGCTTTGGAGAGAAGAAAAATTAGACGACACATTTAACAACTTATTCCACCTGTTTACCTGGGAAAGTCTCGCTCAGTTCCATAGCTCTTTTTGTCAGGAGGCTCTTGCCAAGTTTACAACTGCAATGCGGCAGTGGAATGGTCTGCATTTAAATGTTTATTCTGTAACGTACGATTTAAGTAGCACAAAGATTGAGCCAGCGTTTGCATCGTGAAACCGGAATTTGTTTCCATAATACGGTTATTTTTTTGGGTTAGTTCGTGTGAATATAAATGTGTCGTTAAACCCGTTAAACCGAGTTTAACGACACATTCATACTTCCGCAATCTTACCCAAACAACCTGTATTATGGATGATATTGAATGAGTTTGGTCGCACTTTCACGATGCTATTTGCTGCGCTTTACACGTCGGCAGCTTTCGATGAAAGCAGTCGGTGTCGCGTGGAGTGAGCGGCGTGCACCGCTCCCCTTTGCCGTTCTCCATTTCAAAACTTCCCTCCTCCACGTTCCGCCGTTGACACGAATCGTTGTCGCAGGACGCTCATCGCGCTGCTGAAGAAGAAAGACGCCGGCCTACCTTCAAAGGGGGACGTACCCGAGGGCTCGGCCACAAACGGTACGGCCGGCTCGCGCGCTTGCACAGCGACGTGAGCTGCTCGAGTTTCTCTCGGCTGGAGAAATGGCGCGCTCTACGATTACAGTTTGTTGCTTTGCTCCGTGTGGGTGATGCACGGGCATCTGTAGGCGATCGTGATTTGTACCATTTGCTGACGCGGCCGAGGCTGTGAGGCTGTGCGGCCGTGCAATGACTGTCACCTCATGAGGCACGGGTGTAAATGTGTCCCCGATGAATGTTATGGGCGGGTGCACACGGCAGCAAGCCTTTGTCAAGGAAAAACCCTCGGTGATCTTCAGCCAGTCGACCATTAACTGCCCCTTTTGCGTGCTAGCATACCGGGATGAGCGTCGAATTACGAAATTAAATTTTGGGGAGCGCTTTGCAAAAGACCGTATGTCTGTGACAGAGAATTCAAAGCTTTCACAAAAAACGAGCAGCTTTTCACAATTATCCTTTTAATTCGACATCTGATGTTATTTAATGCCACTTCCCTGTACTATGGAATCATTCACATGTTCCTAAAAACCGAAAAAGTGTTCGGCGTGCGTCACGATCTAAATTTGTGAAACGTGACATGCGTACCTGAAACCTATGTAGTTATAAACTAAAGCTAAACTTTTAATAAAGGTAAGGCCCACAGAGCTATGTAGCTCTTTTTCAGAAGCGACCTGGCCACAAATGATAGCTCAACGAAGTGGCTCGTCACGTGGAAAGTTATAGCAGCCAAATACTCTAAGCGCACGGACTCTAAATGCGGAGGGAAACCCGGAGGACCCGGAGAAAAAAACCACGTTGAGAGAGACACGCGCACTTCAAATATACAGCAGCAGGCGTCAGGGGTCGGAATCTAACCCACGACCTCCTGTATTTCAGGCGAGGGAGTGACCGTCTCACCACCACGGCGCCCCACGTCGTTGGGTAAAACCACAGAGCAAGGTCACCCCATGTTGGCAGACTATAGCTGTCTGTGAAACACGGCTAGCGCCTTCACTCTCGCCTTGCGCTGTCGTCAAAGCGTCAGAATCTTTGCTCCAACGCGCATTGAGGCGGTGCTCATCTCTTATTTGTTGCTCTCGGCCAGTGGGGGAAATTCCACATTTCTATGGCAGTGGCAAGTCTTTTTGCGTAGGACAAACCACTGTAGGCTTCCCCACACAAGGTGTTGCTCATTTTATAAGCCCCAAGAGGCATGATGGGCTGAGTCAATCCCTAACCAGGAGCTGAATTCGTAACATTCACACTGCGGGCCGCTCACCGCTCTAACTCGGGGCCCGATACCTTGGCCGGATTTGCGCCGTTATAGGAATGACGCGAATACAGTTAGCACAGTTGGCCACGTATGGTGCGAAAGAAATTCAACATGATACATACATTTCGATTTAAAGCTTTCGTGACTGCAGGGATTCATCTTCTTGGTTCTTTCGGTAAAGTCACGTAGAAGGGAAATAATAAAATAATAAAAATAAAACATAATAAAATAATTCTCACGACGTTTCGGCCACAACGCAAGCAGCCATCCTCAGGTCACAACGCAAGCAGCCGTCCTCAGGTGAAGAGAATTATTTTATTATGTTTTATTTTTATTATTTTATTATTTCCCTTCTACATGACTTTACCGAAAGAACCAAGAAGATGATACATACATACGGAGCTGCGACTCACGCTTGGCCTGCGTCCGTGCAGGCAAGCCGGAGTGCCTGGAGGAGGTGCGCAAGAAGGCGGTGGACGAGATGATGGAGCGAATCCGGAGGGGCGTGCCCCTCAAGCCTGTCGGCGGGACCCTGGTGCCTCTCTCGCTCGCCCACACGCACGGAAACCCACACGCACGGAAACCCACACGCACGGAAACCCACACGCACGGAAACCCGCACGCACGGAAACCCGCACGCACGGAAACCCGCACGCACGGAAACCCACACGCACGGAAACCCACACGCACGGAAACCCGCACGCACGGAAACCCACACGCACGGAAACCCGCACGCACGGAAACCCGCACGCACGGAAACCCGCACGCACGGAAACCCACACACACGGAAACCCGCACGCACGGAAACCCGCACGCACGGAAACCCGCACGCACGGAAACCCGCACGCACGGAAACCCGCACGCACGGAAACCCGCACGCACGGAAACCCACACGCACGGAAACCCACACGCACGGAAACCCACACGCATGGAAACCCGCACGCACAGAAACCCACACGCACGGACGGAAACCCACACGCATGGACGGAAACCCACACGCACGGAAACCCACACGCACGGAAACCCACATCGTGCACGCTGGTGCCTCTCAGCCACACACACAGAAAGCCACAACAGGTGTCCAGAGATGCTCGCATAATTGTTTTTATTGTAGGTGATTTACTTTTATGTTTTATATACTTACATTATGTAATTCTATTTTTCATACGTATTTATTTGCTTCTTTTTTACAACCACTAAAATCCGCGACTAGCTGTCCCTCGGCACAACGGCTACCACACGAAAGGGGGGTGGGGGGGGGGAAAGACGAGAATTAGGGGAGTGATGGGGGCCCCGTGCCTCCAACCAAGTGGGAAACCTCACGTGAGGGGGGGAAGTGGAAGATTTAAATGGGGAGGGAAAAACGGGGGGGGTGGGAGGTAGGGGGGGGATATAACCAACATGGTAAGCGAAGACCCGAGGGGGGAGGGGAAGGGGGAGCAGAGGGAAAGAAAAGGGGAAGATGGGGTAACCAAGAAAAACCCTAAAAATCAGATAACATACGTGTTCTGTCTAATGAGCTCTTAACACCGGCCTTCCACCGTTCCGAATTCAGCTCCTGCCTGACCTCTTGAGGGACGAACACATTCACGCTTAACCCTTTCCTGTTTTCAAGACGACTGCAAGTTGCAGGGTGAGGGTCCTGTTCACCGCTGAATCTCGGAATGTGCGAGGGGCTCGGCGTTTATTTTAATTTAAAGAGGCGCAGCGCCGTTCTTCTTAAAGACATTGTACTCACCACAGAGAACTGTGGCGCCGAACTGTGCCGCCGAACTGTGCCACACGTCCTCCTGCATGGCCTTGTGGGAGCCTCGGTACCGATAAAGTCATTTTATTCTAGTTTTTCTTCCGATTCCATTCCGATGACGTACTTGTACGTCATCATAACGGGAAAGGTTTAATCTTATGCCACCACGTGGCACCAGAATAAGACGATGGACATTGACGGGAAATCAGCCTTCCAAATGGAGTCTCTAAGGCTATAAGCTGTCTGCTGATTGTTCAAAGCAATATCAATGGGTACACCAAATGTGAGTCAATTGGCAGCTCACGTGTGGTGGGGTAAATAGTGGGTAATCCCGCTTCTTCCAAGACATCCGACCAGCGGGGAAGAGTAGGCCAAATACCCTCTGGATGTTCTCTCAAGTTTCTCTCGTGGAGGGCCCTTCTGCGAGCAGTGGCGTGAGCAAGCAAAATGCAGGGCTGCACTTTTGCCTTTTTTTACACTTTTGAAAATGTAAAAAAAAACGTAATTCCTTCCCAGCGTGGAATGGTCGTGAGCCCCGCCGTGCCGCGTGTTTTGCTCGTCGCAGGCTCGAGTGAAGGTGCAGCCGAAGGAGGAGAGCTGCGACAAACCGAACAGTGCCATCGTGGAACTCAAAGGGATCCTGGTGAGTACCTATGGTGCTTTTCTGCCAGTATCAAAAATGATATAGCTGCTCGACCCGAGCATTGTCTTTGTACCGTTCACCTTTTGGCGTTCTCTGGTCTACTAACACTGGTGAGACTAGGCCATAAAAGAAATGTTGTCTCTGGTGTAGGCCAATCAGTTAGAAAGACAACGCATATGTCATCAGAGTATACTCTTTGGTTCTTTCGGTAAAGTCACGTAGGTAAAAATGAAATAAAATAAATCACGACGTTTCGATCGCAACACAAGCGACCGCAGCAGTTGACGAGATAAATCAGCGGTTGTGATTTCAATCAGCAGTTGTCCTGTTGGATCGGTACCGCCTGATGACGCTTCCGCCTGATGAAACGTCGTGATTTTTTTTTATTTTTTCTACCTACGTGACTTTACCGAAAGAACCAAAGAGTATGGATTCCTGCAGTCATGAAAGCTGTTATCAGAATATGTTTGTTTGCATGTTTTGCCACAAGTACCTGTCAACCCACACGGTTAACCCGTATTCTTGTACAGGGAAATTAAGTTTTCACGTCCATACGGCGTCCAACCATTACAGTACGGGCAACTTCTTTTTATCTGTTTGTGTTTCTCCCGTGTGATGGGATTTTGTAGGATGCACTTTGAGATTTATAAGGGCACGGGGTGACCAATAAGGTTTGAATTTGTCTCTAATAAGGTAGGCACTGATAAGGGGTTGACAGGTAAGTGAATTTGTCTGTAACAAGGTAGGGACACTGATAAGGGGTTGACAGGTAAGTGAATTTGTCTGTAACAAGGTAGGACACTGATAAGGGGTTGACAGGTAGGTGAATTTGTCTGTAATAAGGTAGGACACTGATAAGGGGTTGACAGGTAGGTGAATTAGTCTGTAATAAGGTAGGACACTGATAAGGGGTTGACAGGTAGGTGAATTAGTCTGTAACAAGGTAGGGGACACTGATAAGGGGTTGACAGGAATGTGAATTTGTCTGTAACAAGGTAGGGACACTGATAAGGGGTTGACAGGTAAGTGAAGTTGTCTGTAACAAGGTAGGACACTGATAAGGGGTTGACAGGTAGGTGAATTTGTCTGTAATAAGGTAGGACACTGATAAGGGGTTAACAGGTAGGTGAATTAGTCTGTAATAAGGTAGGACACTGATAAGGGGTTGACAGGTAGGTGAATTTGTCTGTAATAAGGTAGGGCACTGATAAGGGGTTGACAGGTAGGTGAATTTGTCTGTAATAAGGTAGGACACTGATAAGGGGTTGACAGGTAGGTGAATTTGTCTGTAACAAGGTAGGACACTGATAAGGGGTTGACAGGTAGGTGAATTTGTCTGTAATAAGGTAGGACACTGATAAGGGGTTGACAGGTAGGTGAATTTGTCTGTAATAAGGTAGGACACTGATAAGGGGTTGACAGGTAAGTGAATTTGTCTGTAATAAGGTAGGGCACTGATAAGGGGTTGACAGGTAGGTGAATTAGTCTGTAATAAGGTAGGGCACTGATAAGGGGTTGACAGGTAGGTGAATTTGTCTGTAACAAGGTAGGACACTGATAAGGGGTTGACAGGTAGGTGAATTTGTCTGTAATAAGGTAGGACACTGATAAGGGGTTGACAGGTAGGTGAATTTGTCTCTAATAAGGTAGGACACTGATAAGGGGTTGACAGGTAGGTGAATTTGTCTGTAATAAGGTAGGACACTGATAAGGGGTTGACAGGTAGGTGAATTTGTCTCTAATAAGGTAGGACACTGATAAGGGGTTGACAGGTAGGTGAATTTGTCTGTAATAAGGTAGGACACTGATAAGGGGTTGACAGGAATGTGAATTTGTCTGTAACAAGGTAGGACACTGATAAGGGGTTGACAGGTAAGTGAATTTGTCTGTAACAAGGTAGGACACTGATAAGGGGTTGACAGGTAGGTGAATTAGTCTGTAATAAGGTAGGACACTGATAAGGGGTTGACAGGTAGGTGAATTAGTCTGTAACAAGGTAGGAGACACTGATAAGGGGTTGACAGGTAAGTGAAGTTGTCTGTAACAAGGTAGGACACTGATAAGGGGTTGACAGGTAGGTGAATTTGTCTGTAACAAGGTAGGACACTGATAAGGGGTTGACAGGTAGGTGAATTTGTCTGTAATAAGGTAGGACACTGATAAGGGGTTGACAGGTAGGTGAATTAGTCTGTAATAAGGTAGGACACTGATAAGGGGTTGACAGGTAGGTGAATTTGTCTGTAATAAGGTAGGGCACTGATAAGGGGTTGACAGGTAGGTGAATTTGTCTGTAATAAGGTAGGACACTGATAAGGGGTTGACAGGTAGGTGAATTTGTCTGTAATAAGGTAGGACACTGATAAGGGGTTGACAGGTAGGTGAATTTGTCTCTAATAAGGTAGGACATTGATAAGGGGTTGACAGGTAGGTGAATTTGTCTGTAATAAGGTAGGGCACTGATAAGGGGTTGACAGGTAGGTGAATTTGTCTGTAATAAGGTAGGACACTGATAAGGGGTTAACAGGTAGGTGAATTAGTCTGTAATAAGGTAGGACACTGATAAGGGGTTGACAGGTAGGTGAATTTGTCTGTAATAAGGTAGGGCACTGATAAGGGGTTGACAGGTAGGTGAATTTGTCTGTAATAAGGTAGGACACTGATAAGGGGTTGACAGGTAGGTGAATTTGTCTGTAACAAGGTAGGACACTGATAAGGGGTTGACAGGTAGGTGAATTTGTCTGTAATAAGGTAGGACACTGATAAGGGGTTGACAGGTAGGTGAATTTGTCTGTAATAAGGTAGGACACTGATAAGGGGTTGACAGGTAAGTGAATTTGTCTGTAATAAGGTAGGGCACTGATAAGGGGTTGACAGGTAGGTGAATTAGTCTGTAATAAGGTAGGGCACTGATAAGGGGTTGACAGGTAGGTGAATTTGTCTGTAACAAGGTAGGACACTGATAAGGGGTTGACAGGTAGGTGAATTTGTCTCTAATAAGGTAGGACACTGATAAGGGGTTGACAGGTAGGTGAATTTGTCTGTAATAAGGTAGGACACTGATAAGGGGTTGACAGGTAGGTGAATTTGTCTGTAATAAGGTAGGACACTGATAAGGGGTTGACAGGTAGGTGAATTTGTCTCTAATAAGGTAGGACACTGATAAGGGGTTGACAGGTAGGTGAATTTGTCTGTAATAAGGTAGGACACTGATAAGGGGTTGACAGGTAGGTGAATTTGTCTCTAATAAGGTAGGACACTGATAAGGGGTTGACAGGTAGGTGAATTTGTCTGTAATAAGGTAGGACACTGATAAGGGGTTGACAGGAATGTGAATTTGTCTGTAACAAGGTAGGACACTGATAAGGGGTTGACAGGTAGGTGAATTAGTCTGTAATAAGGTAGGACACTGATAAGGGGTTGACAGGTAAGTGAAGTTGTCTGTAACAAGGTAGGACACTGATAAGGGGTTGACAGGTAGGTGAATTTGTCTGTAACAAGGTAGGACACTGATAAGGGGTTGACAGGTAGGTGAATTTGTCTGTAATAAGGTAGGACACTGATAAGGGGTTGACAGGTAGGTGAATTAGTCTGTAATAAGGTAGGACACTGATAAGGGGTTGACAGGTAGGTGAATTTGTCTGTAATAAGGTAGGGCACTGATAAGGGGTTGACAGGTAGGTGAATTTGTCTGTAATAAGGTAGGACACTGATAAGGGGTTGACAGGTAGGTGAATTTGTCTGTAATAAGGTAGGACACTGATAAGGGGTTGACAGGTAGGTGAATTTGTCTCTAATAAGGTAGGACACTGATAAGGGGTTGACAGGTAGGTGAATTTGTCTGTAATAAGGTAGGACACTGATAAGGGGTTGACAGGTAAGTGAATTTGTCTGTAATAAGGTAGGGCACTGATAAGGGGTTGACAGGTAGGTGAATTAGTCTGTAATAAGGTAGGGCACTGATAAGGGGTTGACAGGTAGGTGAATTTGTCTGTAATAAGGTAGGACACTGATAAGGGGTTGACAGGTAAGTGAATTTGTCTGTAACAAGGTAGGACACTGATAAGGGGTTGACAGGTAAGTGAATTTGTCTGTAACAAGGTAGGACACTGATAAGGGGTTGACAGGAATGTGAATTTGTCTGTAACAAGGTAGGACACTGATAAGGGGTTGACAGGTAAGTGAATTTGTCTGTAACAAGGTAGGACACTGATAAGGGGTTGACAGGTAAGTGAATTTGTCTGTAACAAGGTAGGACACTGATAAGGGGTTGACAGGTAAGTGAATATGTGTGTAACAAGGTAGGACACTGATAAGGGGTTGACAGGTTTGTGTTATATTGCCAGAAAGGGTTAAACCGATGCTGGTCAGTGTGAGCTGCTTCACCCCCTCCACAAACCCTTCGCTCGTGGCAGCATTTCGAGCTCAGCAACTGCATGGAGCTCACCAGGGGGTGCGCATTGGGCAGCTTTATATGGCTTCTGAGTAAATAAAATAATAACAGACAATGACAGCCCTTTGTCAATGCAATGGCTCACCGTGCTCAGTGGTATGGGTTCTGCAAATGCCATGTTTTCATATAAAATGGCTTTTTTCGAAGCCATATAATACATCAATGCAGTGCAACTCAGCACTTGTGTTACTTATCATTAATTGCCAAGTGCCCGTACTTCAAGACAATATACATAATGGGAGTCCGTAACAGAGGCGTTTTTTGGGTTAGATCGCTTAAATATAAATGTGTCATTAAACCCGTCACCGCCCAGCACAGCCACTCGGTAATGTTTGTCACGCAAACGAAACGTGCCACTTATTTACTCTCAAACGCACGACCGGTGTGCTGAGCTAGTAACGAATTGGCACGTTTTGTTTACGTGACAAACCTCACTAATTGGCTGTGTCGGGTGGTGGTGGGTTTAACAGCACATTTACATTCACGCGATCTAACCTCCCAAAAAAAAACAACACCTCATGGATAATAATCTTTAGTCACGAACGCCCTCCACCACCACCACTACGTGCTAAACAGACGCGGGAGTTTTGCGATCCACAGAACGTGATGAAGAAGTCGTCGAACGTGGACAAGACGCAGTCCACCACGGCGCTGAGCGAAGCGGGCGAGACGGAGCTGGAGCGGATCCTGCGGCGCAGGAAGGAGACCACGGACGACCTGCTCGTCGACGGTAACGGTGCGCCACGCGCGCTGCGCACGCAAGCCCTCGCCGCACAAAAGATCTGACGGCAACTTGCAAAAGGGGATATTAAACAATTGACAAATGTCGATTTAAAGCCTTCGTGACTGCAGGGATTCATCTTCTTGGTTCTTTCGGTAAAGTCACGTAGAAGGGAAATAATAAAATAATAAAAATAAAACATAATAAAACAATTCTCACGACGTTTCGGCCACAACGCAAGCAGCCGTCCTCAGGTGAAGACCAGGTCTGTCGGGGAGACAGCGTCTGAAAGACAGACCTGGTCTTCACCTGAGGACGGCTGCTTGTGTTGTGGCCGAAACGTCGTGAGAATTATTTTATTATGTTTTATTTTTATTATTTTATTATTTCCCTTCTACGTGACTTTACCGAAAGAACCAAGAAGAATTGACAAATGCTCTGGGGGGGTGATGGGAGGGAAACAATAATTCCCCATGAGGGTGGTGGTGGTGGCGTTCTGGGGAGACCTTTATCCAGCCGTGAATGGCTGATGGCCATGACGGCGAGACTTATTTGGGGTGCAGCAGTCACGCTGAGCTTGGCGTCGCTGCTGCGTGCCACCTAAGGTGGATTCTGGGCCACGGCTAACGGAGGTGGCGAGTCATACCTGCGGTGGTTGTGGGCACACCACCCACTTCAGTATCAAAATATTTATTTGCACTGGAAGAATCTGATGAGACTCAAAGCTCTTTTTCACAGATGTCCACTTCGCCAACGCACGCTGACCAGGATGTCTCTGTTGCGCGTCGTCCCTTTTAAGATGTTCTGTGTTCATATTTTGTTTGTTGCGGTTGCACCCGACTCAAGAACCGCATGGCTCACAGGGCTATGCCTAATAAATGAAACTTGAAAACTTGAAACTTGAACCAGCGTGGTGAAATATGGTGAAACAACCCCCACGACCGACGTGGCAGTAAGTTGAAAAAAAATATCGATGAAATAACTGATCATTTTATGCAGTCGTAGCCAAAATAAGTTTTGTGCTAGTTAAATGTGGAAACTCATTTGGGTCTCATGACATATATTTCAGTATCGTGAACAGGCATTTTAGGCCAGTGTATTTTATGTTGTTGAACTTTTTTCACTGCTTGCCTCGGCGATCCAAATCACCCGTTGAGAAAACTCGATGGAGCGGCGATAATTGAAAGATTTGTCCACACAGCCCGCACCGCCTCCCCCCCTCCTCCGCACCGTTCGTTGATTCCGACGATCTCGTTCGATCCGTTCATGTGCAGTCGTGAGAAGTGGTGTCGTTTTGTTATCGTGGGAGTGTTAGTAGGGATTCATCTTCTTGGTTCTTTCGGTAAAGTCACGTAGAAGGAAAATAATAAAATAATACAAATAAAACATAATAAAATAATTCTCACGACGTTTCGGCCACAACGCAAGCAGCCGTCCTCAGGTGAAGACCAGGTCTGTCGGGGAGAAATGTTAGTAGGGATGTTGACGGTGTGGGGCAGACCATCATCTGGCAGTGGGTAGACAATTAGATGATGATGGTGATGTCGATGACTAGGCATATCAACCACACTTGCGCAGCAAACTGACTATTTTCCACTGTTTTGTCCGTGGCTAGGCAGCACTCAGACGGTGTCCCCACGGGTTACATCTTGATTCCAGTAACCTGCAACCGCTTTGTGGATAAGACCACCTCGCCCAGAAGCAACGGCAAATCGATCCTATTGTCCGCAAACAGCCCCCCCGCCCCTTTCCTGAATCGTCGTTGATTCGAGAGTTTCACTGCATCGTCAAAATCGTCGAATGTCGTCTCTCCGTCTGCCACAGTGTTACGCGGTGGACGTGAGCACTGCTTTTCAAAATCACGTTCGCGTGTTTTTATTCTGCTTTGGTTTTCTCTCCTGCAAAATTGTGTTTGTTTATGCTGGTAATTGCTCTCATGCTAAAAAGCGCAATTCGATTATTTTATTATTTTCTCCACGACACATTTACCCGGCCTGCCCCCTTCCGTGCGTAAAACCAAGCATATTGTGCGTTTGCAGACGGCGGAAATGGGAACATGAAATATTCCCAGTCTCTGCCGTCCGTGGTTAAGAAGCCATCTGAGCAAGAAAAGAAAAATCAAGTTGGCTAAAGAGCTCACTCGGCGTCAACGTAATCATCAAAGAGGGTACAAAGGAGCCAAAGTGCGTGTGTGTGTGTCACATCGCACGCGTTAAACATCGACACAGTAAAACCTTGGATTGCGAGTTACTTGGTCTGCGAGTGTTTTGCAAGACGAGCAAAAATTTTAAGTAAATATTAATTTGATTAACGAGCGAGGTCTTGCAATACGAGTAGTACGTGTATACGCTTTGTCTGCCGAGTGTCACGTGATCACAACTGATATACGAGTGCTTTGATATACGAAGTGCTTTGGATTACAAACACGTTTCCGGAACGAATTATGCTCGCAATCCAAGCTTTTTCTGTACATTGCTCACAACCTTCCAGAGCCATACAACAACCGCCATGAGTTGAAGCTCTACTCTGAGAAATAGCTCGGCCAGAAACTCGAGGCCCACGATCAAAAAAAGGCTCCAGCCTGTCTTCAAGTTAAATGCTATTTGAAATAGGATATTAAGACACGGTCAAGCCACGTTTTAAAAGGCAGGCAATGCATTTTCATGTATTAAATCACTTGTCATTGCATACCCTGCAATTCCCTCTCTTGGCCGATAACTGGAGATGAGAATGTGACATTTGGAATTAGACTTTGCTGAACGGCCGCCAGTAACTCTGGACGTCCCTACAATCCGCCAGAGAGGGGTAGCAAAGTGGAAGAAGCGGACATCAAGTGAATAGGAGGGCAGGAGTGTGGTGGTGGTGGTGGCGGCATGTGTAGGAATGACTTGCACTGGCTGCACAGCTGAGATGCACGTGATCATGTGTGGTTTGTGTGTAAGTGGCGAGTGCTGTAGTGGTGACGGTAATTTGTGCCCGATGGTGTTTTGGTGTTGGCGTCAAGTGGCGAATATGTCAGTGGTGAGTTCCAGTCGTTAAGACGCGAGTCGTGGTAACATTGAGTGCCAGGGATTGGTGTAGTCGTGAGTTCTGAACGTTGAATAGCGTGACTGGTCAGTGTGAATAATTAACTTGAAAAAAATTGCGAGTATATTTTACAAACAATCTGAATATTGGAAATAATCTGAATAAATCAAGGAAGTATAAATTGTTTTTATATCTTATTTCAAAGTCTAAACTTAGAATGTTGGCATTTTATCTCCCCTAATAGAGGTTTTTTTGGGTTAGATCGCGTACATATAAATGTGCCGTTAAACCCGCCACCACCTGACACGGCAAATTAGTGCTGAACTTGTAACGAATTGGCTTTGTTTACGTGACAAACCTTACTAATTGGCTATGTCGGGTGGCGGCGGGTTTAACGACACATTTATTTTAAAAAACGTATGGATAATATTGGTTGCAAAAGCCTCCTACGTGTTAAAGCAAGTTTAAAGCCGCCATAAATTTCCGCATGCGAATCATCGTATCCATTACAAATAATCACAACGCTTGGAATGCATGCTCGAAGCTATGCTGGAACTCATCCTAGAACTGCTTTGCCCATCCAAACCCGTGCTCGAAAACCCATATCTACACACCAGCTCCAACCCCCACGCTCAAGCTCGAACCTGTGGACAAACCCACGCTCCAACACATGCCCCAACACATGCTTGAACCCACGAACCCATACTCGAAGCCAAATGCATACCTTTGAACCGTGTAGTTAATTAGGAACAGTTTATTGCCATTCACACTGCGTATGGAGTAGAGTCTCAAGTGAGACTCGGGACTATATGTGCAGGTGACTCCCCCTTCATGGAACCATCTCTACTGCTTCATGTCGTTAGGGGCCAAACCATTTAGTGCGTACGCATGGAGGGGGTAGGGGGGTTAACCCGAATGCGTACGCTTGCGTATGGGGGGTCTACTGATATTAATAATTTGTCTACGTTGGCCTTCAAATGAGTTAGATAGTCCGGCGGTGGACTATCTGTTTGCTTAAACACGTCAATATTATTAATCCTTGATCGTTTCTGCGTGGATTAAATATCGGCCGTTCTATAGGATTCGGGGGGGGGGTGGGGTGCGTCAAGCGTACGTACGCAGGTGGGGGGGGGGTGTAAAAAGTACGTGTGCGTACAGGGAGGGGGGGATGGGTCAAGTTTTGACATATTTTTGCGTACGTACTAAATGGATAGCCCCTTACGCCAATCCAACCTTATTACCTCAGTGGGTCTTTAACTGACACCGACTTATTGAACTTGTTTGGCCAATCCGTGCCCTCCCGCTCGCAACCCACCATTCCAGTGAGCGCGAGCGGGGAAACCAATCATGCGAGTCGATGCTCGAGTTTGAACGTGCCGGCTTGACAGCTACCCAATAGGATATGACCGTACCCGTTGCAACATTGAGACTGCCAGTTTGTGCTGTATGCGGTGTTGGATATAATGAATTAAAGCAGGCTCGCCTGTCAGCGACCCTTTTAACTTATAAAGCACATTTCATTCATTGTTGAACTGTATTTAAAGAGCAAAAAAAAGGTAATATTTATGAGGGCATATAGCCACGTATAATATAAACAAGCATTCTTAATCATGAAGTGGTTTCCAAACAAACACAAAACACGTTTAAATGCTAAAGGAACAATTTCTGAGGATACACAACATTTATGCAAGCCGTTACGATATATCCGTGATGATATATCTGTACATGGCCGGTTCTCCTTCAGCCTATGCATTAAACGTATTGCAAATTGCATGTGCCTATATACAATGACTTTTTTCACGTATAATCGTTTAAAATGTTTGTCAGCCTTGCCTAATACCTTGGCCAGGATATAGAGAATTTGTTGAGACCCGAGGTGCAGCATTGTATAAGCGTGAGGTCACAGGTTAAAATGGTGGTGAGGGTCGACTTAAAAGTTTATCCCTCCTGGGTAAATAAAAGGATTAACATCTTAAAATTGTTGTCAGTCTGACCGAATACCTTGGCCAGGATTTCGAGCATTTGTTGACATCCGAGGTGGAGCATTGTATAACCGTGAGGTCACAGGTTAAAATGGTGGCGAGGTCGACTCAGAATTGTATCAATGCTGGGTATATAAACACCTGTACACGGCGTTCCCCTGGCAAGAAACCAGTGTGCGAACAATATCCCAAAGATGCACCAGCACTCCGTGAAGCGGCCGAAAGGTGAAAGCGTCACTCCTCGGGATAATCTCAAGTGTTTAACCGTAGCACGCGATGGCACAGACTTCCTAGGGTTAGAGCGTGGGTTGGAGTTTTAGCAGCTTGGGTTTGTGCACGGTGCACGGGTTCAAGCATGGGTATGACCCCAATTGCAATTGCCTCGATGGCTATTTTTAGACTCAATCCTTGCTCCATAAACTCCTCGTACAGAGATTGAGTACTTTTGTTTAGCTCGGTTTTCAGAGGCGGCCACCTTCCACGTTCGAAGTCTATCGTCGTCATGAAGTTTAAGTCTACACGTTTGTGTTTGACAGCTGGTGGTGCCCTGACCCTGAGGGGGAGAGGATGGGTGGGTGGGGGGGGATCCCTTTTTAAATCCTTTATATTAAGTTTGCTTGCTTGCTTAGGACCGTGCAAATCTTTCGGTCGTTTTTTAACCCACTTCCCGTGATCCAATCGAGCTGACATTTTCCACACAGACTCGTTGTGCTTGACAATTAATGTTCGTGAAATTTTTTTTCCAAAATGTTACACTTTTTAGGACAAAAATATTATATTTAATTACCAATTGCTTAATGGTGCAATGCAATCATCTGACCCATAGGTGGCAGCCATCTCAAGCCAGAGGACGAGAGGACTCTAGCCACCACGCATATAAAGGATTTATAGTGAAAAACTTTGTTTTTACTGGTTATACTTATTACTTGTGCCCCAGCCACTCGTAAGCCAGTGATGAGGAACACAACTCTCCCGGCACTGGGTAAAATAAAGAGGCTGAACCTCATCCCACCCCACCCTTGTCTTTGGGGAGGGGGAGCGGTGACCGCCTCCGAAACCAACTTCTCCTAAAGCCCCGTTTTTATTCATCTGGCGGTTACCGCCACGCGCCAAGCCCGTAGTCACTGACAGAGCTTGACCAAGGCAGAGGGAAACACAAAAAGTAAGATATCGGGGGGGGGGGGGGGGGGGGGACGGGAAGCAACCCCTTGTGTGGGACAGCCGCCGAAAGTACCGCTTTCCCAAAAAGCCCCTTCTGTGAAAGCGTGTCGGAGCCTTATAGTGCTTGGGAACACGTGAACACGTGTGCGGAGGAGCTCCAAACTGCCGCTCGGCAAATGTTGTACTCGTGGGATACCCCTCCCTCCTGGCGCGAAAGAAGGCCCGTGGCTTTTGTGGCACGGAACGGACGGTGGACAAGGGACTGTCTCTTCGAGGGGGGAGCGCTCATCGGGGATAATGCACCGTGCTCGAAGATGCTCCGTCTGATCTCGGGGGTTGCTTTGCACCGACTCGCCGACTTGGGGACCGTGAACCCGTTAGCCGGCTTGGCCCGCTCACTGTGAATCGTCTCCACCACGCGTTGGTCAAGGGGCAGCTCGGCGGAGGCTGATGGCTCAAAAGACGAAAAGGGGGAAGGATTCCTGCTGTTGGCCCTTCATCCGTTGCCCTTCGCTGGGACAACTACGAGATGCGGGGCGACCAGCTTCAAGACCGCGATGATCCTTTTGCGCAGCGGTTTAAGTTCCCCAGTGGGGGGGGGGAAGCACTCTCCAACAACGTAGGTGGAAAAAGGGAGGAGGGAGGAGGAGGATTCGCCCCCTCCCCCATTGGAAGCTCCGCCATGCCCCCTGAGCTTCCTGGCTGACCCATCCTGGGTAGATGAGGCTCGAGAGCTCGCCTGAGGATCGTGGCCATCTCCAAAGAGGAAGCGACTTCAGCCTTGTCAGAAGTGCAGCGACCCCAGATGGATACGAAGGGCTCTTGAGCCCCGTAACCTCCCCTCCAGAGCACCACAAAGTCCCCTTCACCAGGAACTGGTCCCACGTGCGACCACTGAAACAACGTCCGCTTCAAGCGCAGCTGTATCCAACGGCAGGGTCCTGTTACAGTCTCTTCCCGGGGCGCATCTCTTCAGGGAGCAGCTCCGAACACAGCACGGACTTGAAGAGCGCTCGCTGTACAGCTGGGATGTTGGATGTCCTCTCGCCGCCGCGTCTCCCTCTCTCCGTCCCGGTTGTGTTTCCCCCCCATCGTCTCCTCGTCCTTTTGCTGGTGCACCCCCCTTTTTGTACTCGATAACCCCCCCCCCCCCAGCCAGCTCCAAGCCTCCTACCCCTCCCTGCTGTTGCCATTGTTTGGAAACCGGCAATAATTGTGTCGAGCTCACTCTCACCCCGGCACCACCACCCCCGATCTATCTTTTGTCGCTTGGATTCACGACTGCGCACCACATTGGTCGCTACAGAAGGAAGGGGGAGGGGGGGAATTGGTTGCGCACTTAGGGAGCCATGATTGAGGTCAAAATGCGTGCACAATAAACAATAATGGAAGGTCAAGAAAACGCCAAATAATGCGTAGCAATACGACAACGTCCACACACGAAAACGGTCAGATGCGGGCGATTTGAAATTACAAGCGCCGATCGCCGTGCTAATCCGCGGTTACAAAAAAAACTCCATACCCACGGGGTTAGAAGATTGGTATGCTGAAGGAAAGCCGTGGGTACGTAAGTACCGCAGATGCAAAAAACGCAGTTGGCGAGGGATTTCTGTATATTGAGATAAAAAAAATGAACTGCAGGTTAACGGCACTTCCAGGCTGGGTGGACTGTTCAGCTCGATGCTGTTGCTTTTGTTGCTCCGGGTGTTGGATGAGCTGGAAGATTTTTTTTTTGCTCACCCACTCTCTGCAGTGAACTGCCGCGAGAGCTTTTCTTCGCCAGGGCTGAGTAGTGACACACTCCTCCCCCCCCAACTCGTCGTTCTCACGGATCAAGATGATCCTGGCAAGATCCAGTTTTGAAATGAACTGGTTGCCCTCAGTCCGCGCGTCAAAAGGATGGCCCGCCAACGAGTCGAGCGAAGATCTTCTCGCTCCATCTCAGAGAACTTCCCCCACCACCACCACCACCACCCTCTCCACCAACTCACACAGGGAAGGAGTTGTGCTGTACTCTTTGGGTTTTTTTCGGTAAAGT